CTGTAAAGGAAAACGTACTTGCTTGTCAGGAGAAAAAGAGATTTCTGTTCAGTGAACACACAGAGGAATAATCTTTTCCTACAAAAATCACTGGAAGTTATTAAAACCTTAAGTTACTTGTTTTTGAAGGGAAAAAAATCTTTCCATTGACAAGAGTTGTGAGACCCTCTCTTCTAAAGCTCATATAATGCAAGCAAGAAGCTGTAGTTCAGGTTTGGCCAGAGTTTTTCTTTCAGTGATTTACTTAAGCTGCTTCCCTTCTATTCCTATTATTCCTTACTGTGTGCTCCTGCTATCCATGACAAGTTTGATCTAGCAGAAGTTACTTGCCTTTGATGTTGATGTTAGTTAGAGGGGCACAGCTCTCTTGATGCTTCAGGGAATCAGTAAGTGTCCTTAGGACTCTCTGAGGTGCAGTTTGAGTTGCATGACATGGTGTAAGGCAAAGACAGTTGGCCCTTTCTTTCCCTCCCAGCCCCTTGCAGGATGTAGGGGATCCTTTTCCACACTTGTACCTGCAATATGGGTAGCTACTGCAGAGCTGCAACACCCAGTGCCCTTTCTGTCTTCAGGGAGTTGCAGGTAACCACCACTGTCATCATCTTCAGCAGCAGCAGTGCACTGAGGACTCCTAGAGATGCTGCTACTCAGATGAATAGCCCAAAACTGAATTAGTTCACTCTTAGACATTCAGATAGTTTCTATGGGTCTCAAGGATCCTGTCCCTCAGACCTCTTAGGTTTTGCACAGGTTTCATTTCAGTCAATAAAACAATAGACTTAGACAGGCTGGAGAGTTGGGTGGGGAGAAACTTAATGAAATGTTCCTCAGGGCTCAGTCTTGGGATTGTTTCTGTTTAACATCTTTATTGATGATCTTGATAAGGACATAGAGTGTATCATCAATAAATCTGCAGATGACACCAAGCTAGGCAGGAGTGTTGATCTGCATGTGGATGGGGAGGCTCTGCATAGAGACTTGCATAGATTGGATCATTGGGCTAATGTTAATGGTCTGGCCTTCAACAATAGGCTGCCCAGGGAGATGGTTGAGTCATCATCCCTGGATGTGTTTAAGGGTCGTTTGGATGCCGTGTTGGTGGATATGGTTTTGGGGAGAACTTTGTAGAGTAGGGATGACGGTTGGACTTGGTGATCCCAAGGGTCTTTTCCAAACTGAATGGTTCTATGATTCTATGAAATACAATAAGGGCAAGTGTAGAGTCTTGCATCTGGGAAAGAACAACCCCATGTATAAGTATAGGCTGGAGACTGACCTGTTGGAGAGCAGTGTAGGGGAAAGGGACCTGGGAGTCTAGTGGACAGGAGGATGACCATGAGCCAGCAATGTGCCCTTGTGGCCAAGAAGGCCAGTGGCGTTCTGGGGTGTGTTAGAAGGGGTGTGGTTGGTAGGTGGAGAGAAGTTCTCCTCCCTCTCTATTCTGTCCTGGTGAGGCCACGTCTGGAGTATTGTGTCCAGTTTTGGGCCTCTCAGTTCAAGAAGGAGAGGGAACTGCTTGAAAGAGTCCAGCACAGAGCCACAAAGATGACTGAGGCAGTGGAACATCTCCCTTATGAGGAAAGGCTGAGGGAGCTGGGTCTCTTTAGCTTGGAGGAGACTGAGAGGCAACCTCATCAATGTTTACAAATACATAAAGGGAAGTGTCAGGAGGATGAAGCCAGGTTCATCTCAGTGATGTCCAGTGATAGGACAAGGGGCAATGGGTGCAAACTGGAGCATAGGATGTTCCACAGAAACATGAGGAAAAACTTCTTTACTGTGAGAGTGACAGAGCACTGAAACAGGCTGCCCACAGAGGTCGTGGAGTCTCCTTCACTGCAGACCTTCAAAACCCACCTGGACACGTTCCTGTGTGATGTGCTCTGGGTGACCCTGCTCTGGCAGGAGGGTTGCATTTGATGATCTTTCAAGGTCCCTTCCAACCCCTAAGATTCTGTGATTCTGTGAATATTCCTTTCTGTATCCTTATTCAGAATTAACATTTTGGGCAGTGCTTTGGCAAAGCAGTAAATAAAAGGTTAGAGTCCCTCTTACAGCATCAGAAGCAGCACTAACCTGGAATGAATTCACTCTGTTCAGATTTATCTTTTTGCTCGAAGGCTTTCTGCTGCAGTAGTTACTGCTTTTCTAGCCCATTCTAACTTTAGGTCTTGTGTCAGCACAAAGCTAGCAAAAAAGCAGAGCACTGGTGCTAACTCCCTGTCACATGCTTCGATCAACTTGACAAAAGTGTCACAGTGTGGTCCACCTGTACTCTGAGTCAAGTTTGTATTCCTATGTAATCCTTTCCAATGATGGTGAAAACATCTTGCTAAGGAGAACTTTACATGTTTGCACCTCTCATGGGTGCAGATACACACATTTGTCCAAATCAAGAGCCAGAAATCCATTGTGTACCATCAGGTTTCTACTGAGCACCAGCTCCTGTTATTTGTAATATATTTGCAGAGGATACGTCAGAGTCTTAAGACGTAGAAATGTAATTTCTTAACTAAACAGAAGTTATTCCACACATGACACTGAGCTACTACCATTTTCCTCATCCCATGAATAAAACAGTACCATTGTTGGAAGCACTGTGATTGAGCTCCTCAGAGTTCCTGCATGTGAAGCTATTAAAAAACTCCCCATTATAGTGAGAAGTAGTCATGAGGGAAAAAAAATATTAATTACTACAGTAAGTAGGGTTGACTGTTTCATGAGTCAGGCTGTTTGTGAGGTCAGTTTTTCTGCCGGATTTGCATGAGAGTTGAGAGAGAGGAGATGAGCAAACATAAGGCACTGCATTCTAGTTGTGGTTGAAGTTTTGTGATTAATTACCATCAGCTGCCTCAAATCATTAAGGCACAGAGAACAAGAGTGTTATGAGATCATGTTTTGATAGCCTTTAACTTTAGTGGTCTGCTTGGTTTTTTTCCACAGAAGTCAGAGAAGTGGCTGTGAGAAGGAGGGATACCAAAGTTTCCCAAGTCAGCAGGTCCTGAAGGAAGAAATTCTACACTGGCTTCTACAGCCCAGGTAAGAGGTTCACTCTGGGGACTATATTCCCATCCCCTGGCACAGCAAATACTTATACAGAATGATAATAAAATAACCTTTCCATTACCAATGGAGCAGATACAGTCAAGGCTAGTTGTAGCTCTTCAAATACTAATTTAAAAAAAGCCCAATTTTCATTTACAGAATAAAACCACACACCCCATCCCTAACTCTGCTGGGCTCAGAGTCTCTCTGTGCTAAGGCACCTGCTAGAGTAATTTCCCTGCCCTGTACTAGTGGCCTCTTGCATCCTCTTGGTTGCAGGACAACAGCTCTCTCAGGGCAGCACTCTCTATACCTTTAATATGAAGCAGCTGTGATTTTTAACAAAGCCACTTCATACAACACAAAGAAGAGCCAGGTGAGGGCTCCCCGTTGCTTGCTTTGCTCCTCTGCTCCTGGTTGTGTTATCCCCCACTACCTGGGCTCCGTTGCTGCTCATAAATGTTCCCTTTAAAAGTATCCACAGCCACAGTATGAAAGTTGGTGATGTATAGCATGTTGTAAAGAATTACTTGCCTCTGTTCAAAAACCTTCCTGACCTTGCAGCTGAAGAAGAACAAAATAATATATTAACAAAAACATGGTTCACTGCCAAAGAAAAGGAGTTCCTGTAAGGACTGAAACAATAAATCTCCACACTGAACTCCCAGAGGGAGTATGTTGTGTTTCCTCCTGTTCTTTATCAAAGTCCCCAAAATAAGCAGGAAT